CCCCACCCCACACACACACACTCAGCTCTGACCCTGACGGCTGCCCGCTTCCTGCACCTGGCTTCCCTCCTCAGGGCCTGCAGTCCCCTCCCCCAAGGGTTTCCCCGACATCCCACCGAAAACTGCCCAGTCTTCTTTCCCAGTTTATTTTCCCCACAGCATTTATCACCACCTAAGATACTTTGATTGTCATCTGTCTCCCCAAACTAAAAGGTAAGCTACCTAAAGCCCATCATTTTTGCCTGCTTTGTTCTCCACTGTACTCCTGGTACCCGGACCACTGCCTGGCGCACAGGTGCTTGCTTGGTTAATATTTGCTGGAAGCCTGACGGACGGATGGAAACACAGCACACGGGTAAGAGCGGGGTGGGGCTTCGGGGCCAGACAGACTGCTTTCAAACAACGGTGCAGCACGACGGGTTTTGTTGAAGTGGGAGTCCTTGGTCACCCCTTTCTGTTTTTTCACCTGCAAACGTGGATGATAATACCCTTCTCAACGGGTCATTTGTCAGTTCTCAACCAATAATTGTTATTCTTAGTTTGCTGGGAACCTCAAGTGAAATGACATACACAAGATCACCCTGTCAACTGAAAGGCAACGCAAAGTGCAAGGCCAGCTCAGCGGGCGTCTGCAGTGTGCCAGGCGCGGCTGAGGGCGGGCGCCATCAGCTTTCCCACCTTACAGATGAGTAACTGAGGCCCCAGCACCACACGGCTGGGGCAGCAGCAGGGCCCCAAGCCCAGGGCGTCTGCATCCCGCCCACCGGGGCCCGGCCCTCCCAGGCTGCCTTTGCTATCAGTGTCAGAAATCACGCGGTGCCCACATCCTAGCACTTCCGCGTCGCTCAGGGTCCTCTGCTCGCGTTTCCTCCCCCCACTCCCAGTGCATCTGACTGACCTCATCCTCTCCCCTTCGGGACCTGAACTGCTTTCATGGTCTTAAAGTCCCTTCCAAGCTGATGGCTCCCTGTGTTTCTGTCCCATGATTTACAGGCGTTTTATGGAGTTGGATTTTTCCAGCGTCTGCACGGGGGGGATTAGGTGGTACGTTTTGAGGCTCTGTCTGCACGGAGCACGGTTCCCTGTCACGCCCACGCTTGCCGCCTTTACATGTGTGTTTCCCTTCTGAGGCCGGAACTCCCTTGAGAGAAGAGACGGGGTCTATTTTTGTACCCCCATCACCCAGTGTCATGCCTGGCATGCAGTTAAGTGGACTGCAAATTGCTGATGAAGTCTACCTCTTCATCTGGGGGCACGAGGGCTGGGAGGAGGCGGGGTACACACCTGGGCCTCCCCGTTTCCAGCCTCCACCCCACCCCGGGCCACCCCCATGCTGCCCCAAGGCCAACTTCGGAAAACATGGTTCCACCGTGTGTGCAAGAAACCACACAGCAGGGATCTGCTGCGTCATCACAAACTCTTCTGCAGGATGCCATCTACCCCAGCCCCACCAGTTAAACAGTCCCCTCTCCCACCCAGAGCCCACCCCGCTGGGCAGACCTCCTCCCCGCGGCTGCCCTCCCCCACCCCACCCAGCAGCCCCCGGCTCGACAGCATCTCCTCACCAAGGAGCGTGTGTGTCACGTAAAACCTTCCACTGCAGATGAAGGTTCACACGGTGCCTTTCTCAGAGATTAAGTTTCATTCTCTTTTCTTTTTTAGCGGTGACTTTTTATTTAGGGGTGTTTTGCATGACGTAGATTCA